CCCCTAAAATTAACACCCTGTGTATCCATGGAGAATCAGAAACCCTTCATCACTAGAAACAGAGTAGAATGTAAGGTCTACCTGGGAGAATAGTCCCCTCCCCCCATCCTCTCCTCCTCCCCTACCAGGACAGCACAGTAGCCTTAGCACAAATGGCCTACTGGAAACCAGTAATCAGCTCTGAGGGTTCATCCTCTGACTGCCAGTCACTGCCTAATGCTCTGAGGTCCAGGCCTCCTCTACCCAGTCACACCCTCATCCACAAGGTCACACCCAGATCCATCCTGCCAAGCCCTCTTGGGCCAGGCCACACCTGCTTTCCCCAGAGGCTCCCTAGGCTCTGAGGTCCTTTCTGAATCCCCTGTGGCCACACCTCCTCCTGGCCCTCCCCTATTTAATCCCTCTCCCTTGCCCTAAACTTTCACTCTCTGCACTGTGGTTTCCAGCTCAGGCTGGCTGGCAGTGTGCTCTCCTTCTTGCTCTTGCTTTTGGGTAAATCAACTCTTGCCAAAGAAGATGGCGCTCACCAGCTTTTTACCCGCACCTACTCAGCTATCCCAGGACCAACATGAAGCTGAAGAGAAGGCAAGATCTCACAGTTCCTGGCAGACCTCCTTGGCCTCCTCACGCAGAGAACCTCCCCAGTATGGGTGCCGAAAAGGTTGGAATCCTCGCTCGCTAGAAGATTTTGGAGATGGAGGTGCTTTTCCAGAGATCCATGTGGCCCAGTATCCACTGGATATGGGACGACAACAAACCAGGTCCAATGCGCTGGCCATTCAGGTCGATCCTGAAGGAAGAATTCGGTACGATGCAGTTGCTCGACAAGGTCAGTCAAAAGACAAGGTCATTTACAGCAAATATACTGACCTGCTGCCACAGGAGGGGATGCATGCCGGTGATCCAGACCCACAGAGACCCAGCGAAGAAGCTATTCAAGAGATCACAGCAAAGACAAGGGTAGCCTTAGAGAAGTGTGTGCAGCAGAAGGTTGCCTCAGCCATGCCAGTTCGGGCAGCTGATCAACTGGCTCCTGCTCAGTATCTGCGATACACACCATCTCAGCAAGGAGTGGCATTGAACTCTGGAGCTACACAGAGGCTCATTCGCATGGTGGAGATGCAGACAGATCCAATGGAGCCTCCGAAGTTCCGGATCAACCAGAAGATTCCCCGGGGACCAGCTTCTCCTCCTGCACCTGTCATGCACTCTCCAAGCCAAAAGATGACTGCCAAGGAGCAACAAGAGTGGAAGATTCCTCCTTGCATCTCCAACTGGAAAAATGCAAAGGGTTATACAATTCCCTTAGACAAGCGACTGGCCGCCGATGCAAGAGGACTTCAGATGGTACACATCAATGAGAACTTTGCCAAACTCGCCGAAGCTCTCTACATTGCCGATCGGAAGGCTCAGGAGGCTGTGGAAACACGGGCCCAAGTGGAGAGAAAAAGGGCTCAGAAAGCAAGAGAGATTCATGAAGAGAAACTTAGAGTGATGGCCCAAAAAGCCAGGAAGAGGAGAGCTGGCATCAAAACCCGTGTGGACAGAGAAGATGGGGAGGCCCGTGGGAGGGAGGAGATCCGGCATGAGAGGCAAAAAGAGAGACAGCACAACCGGCATCTTTCCAGGGCAGCTGCTGAGAAGAGATGGAAACCACCGCAGAGGAAGGAACATCGAGTTATCACTGAAGTCATTGCTCTGGGTGTCCCCAATCCTGGAACCTCCAAGGAAGTTTGGTATGACCAGAGGCTCTTCAACCAGTCCAAAGGTATGGACAGCGGATTTGCAGGTGGAGAAGATGACATTTACAGCGTTTATGATCTCACCTGGAGAGGTGATAAAGACATGGCCCAGACCATCTATAGGCCCAGGACAAATCTGGACAAGGACATGGATGGTGATGACCTAAAAACCAAAATCCAGACCAACAGCTTTCTTCCAGTGCAAGAGTTTTCCGGTTCAGAACATAGGCAGACCGCACGAGAAGGGCCAGTGCAGTTTGAGGAGGATCCTTTTGGTTTGGACAAGTTTCTGCAAGAAGCTAAACAGCACAGTGGCTCCAAAAGACTTGCAGATAGCAGCCGACCTGAGGAGCATGAGCATGAAGGCAAGAAGAGGAGGAAGCCGTAGATACTTCTCTCTTCTCACTCAATGAACTTGGTTCAGAACCCTAGTGATGCAAGTCGTGGGGATATGCTTTGGAAAGGGTCAGAGTAAAATCCAAATCTGGATCCACTCCAAATGGATCAAAGACCTCGGAGTCAAAGCAGACCCTCAGAAAATTTTACAGGATGGAAGAGGAGAAAGCCTAGGTCTGCTTGACACAGGCCAAAATTGTCTTCAGAGACCCAGAAAACACAACAAATCAAAGAAAGCTTGGACAAATGGGGCTGCATGAAATTGCAGAGCTTCTGCATCGCACAGGACATAGCTCGCAAGATCAATAGAAAGCCCACGGATTGGGAGAAGAGTTTCACTAGCCACGCAATGGACAAGGGTCTCATATCTAAAATAGACCTGGAACTCAAAAAATTAAATCCCCCAGCAACAAATCTTCAAAGAAACACCTACCCAATAAATAAGTGGGCTAAAGACTTAAAGAGAAACTTCTCTGAAGAGGAAAGAAGGATGGCCAATAGACACAGGCAGAAATGCTCAACCTCTCTAGTCATAAAAGAAATGCAAATCTAAACAACCTTGAGATACCACCTCACTGCAGTTAGAATGGCTAGCTATAATCAAGAACTCTTATAACAACAGATGCTGAAGGGGATGTGGACAGAAGGGAACCTTACTGCATTGTGGGTGGGAGTGTAAACTTGTGCAACCACTTTGGAAAGCACTATGGAGGTTCCTCAGAAGACTACACATAGAGCTCCCCTAGGACCTCAGGAATCCCACATTGGGGCATTTACCCAAGTGTTTACAAACAAGACCACACTAAAGCTACCAGCATGACGATGTTTATTGCAGCATTATTTACCATAGCGAAGATATGGAACCAACCCAGATGCCCCTCAGTAGATGAATGGATCAAGAAAATGTGGTATATATACAGAATGGAATTCTATGCCTCCAGCAGAAAGAAGGACATTGCCCCATTTGTTAGGAAAAGGGAAGACTTGGAAAAAATTACATTAAGTGAAGTAAGCCAGGCCCAATGAAACATAGGTCCCATGGTTTCCCTTATTTGCAATAACTAGTGTATGTCTGAGACAAGTAGAAAAGTTTACATAAATTGATGTTCGGTGAAATAAACACCAAAATGAGTATTCAAATTTTTTTTCTTTCTTGCAATTGTTACTAACATAGTTATAAGATGATTTCTTTGTTGCTTTGTGTGTCCCTCCCCCACCGTATAACCCCTGCTTTCACTGTATTTGATGTTGGTATAATTTGTGGAGGGGAAGGGAAGAAACACGTCGATTATATAGGGATACAAGTGGACCCATCGCAACAATGAGATATACAAGTTGTTTTGTCAAAAAAATGAACTTTGGGAGGATTGGATGGGTGGGGAAGGAGGATGGGAAAGGATGGGAAGGGTAAACAAAGGAGGAAGCTATAATAAGGAGGCTTTATAAGAAATGTATTCACTGTATCGCCCATGTAATTGTAACTCCTCTGTACAGTATTTTCACAATAAAAAAATTAAAAAAAAACGAACTTTACAACTTTGGCTGGGGTGGGGAGGTGGCAGATTGGAAGGGATGGGGAGGGGAAGCAAAGCAGGAGGCAACAATGCTTGATAATAAATGTACTCATTACCTTGCCCACATGATTGTAACCCCTTTGTACGGTATTTTCACAATAAAAAAAATAGGAAAAGTTATTTTTAACGTTTCCACGTTTTCCTTTGTTCTATTTTTATTTGTAAACTTGCAGAATAAAATTCCTTCCTTGTGGAAGGAACAAAATAAAATACAATATAATAAACTCTTTCTGCCCGAACCATGTGGCGGTCTCCTTTCGGCAAACCCTACACAAGGGAGTCCAACAACCTGGCCCAGAGGGTTTGGCTTCTCTCTATGTTCTGAGGACATTTTGAGTGGGAGGTCAGCACAGTAATGATGATCAATTTTCTCACAGGAAAGTAAGAATCCTTTGTCAGATCTCATGAGATCTTGCTCCTATCCCTCCTTAGCCCATGTATTGGTCAAAAGCCTACTGCCATCATGTGAACCACTAAAGATATCAAGCTACCCATGTTAAATTGGAACAGACGCTCTACTTCTAAACTAAGCTTTCAACTTTCTTATTCAGACTCTGTTTCCTAAGTCTTCTTTCCCTAGAAGAATATCCAGGTTCACAATCAAGGAACCATCTCTGCTGCCTTGTCCTGATCCGGATGACATCTCTGCATTCTATTCCTAAGAATGATACCCCTGTGTCAGCAGGAAGTAGCCCAGAGAATCTTCAAAAGCCTGGAATGTTCTGTGTGCCCAGGATAATACCACTCCCTCCCCTTCTGCTCTCCTCCTCCTTTCCAGGAGAGGGCAGCATGGTCGCCTTTCCAAAATTCTCCTGCTGGAAAGCAGTAATCTCCTCAGTCAATCTCCTGAATGAGTCAGCAAAGGGCTCCAGGCTCTGAGGTCAACACCTCACCCTCTGAGGTCACCCCCTCACCCACCCAGCCCTGTCTTCCTAAGCCCAGCCACGCCCTTATCCACCCTGTCACACCCTGATAAGCCCAGTTACTCCCTCATCCGCCCAGCCCTGCCTGCTTCCACCAGTGAGAGGCTCCCTAAGCTCTGAGGTCATTTCCGCCTCCGCTGTGGCCACGCCTCCTCCCCGCCTGGCACTATATAAGCCCTCTGGCTGGTGCTCAGCTTTGTCTGTGGACCAGCCTCCCTCCAGTGCAGGTCGGCGCGCAGGTTGGTCTTGCTCCCTCCTGTCACTCAGCTCTTCCTGCCGACTCGCTTTGTTGTTGGGAAGCTTGATAGTGTCAAGAGCTCTCTGTCGGGCAGCTCTCTGCGATCCCAGTGTGTGCGGACATCTCCCAGGATCTCCTGCAGACATGGCGGTCTCCACCGCAGTCGGGAAACTGCGGATCCCTCAGGTGGCCAAGGTCAAAAACAAAGCTCCAGCTCTCGTCCAGATCACCGCCGAACAACTGCTCAGGGAGGCCAAAGAACGAGAGCTTGAGCTTCTTCCACCTCCACCTCAACAGAGGATCGCAGATGAAGAAGAATTCAATGACTACAAGCTGAGGAAAAGGAAGGCCTTTGAAGATAACTTAAGGAAGAACCGGACTGTGATTGGGAACTGGATAAAATACGCACAATGGGAAGAAAGGCTCCAGGAAATTCAGAGGGCTCGATCCATCTACGAGCGTGCTTTAGACGTGGACTATAGAAATATCACCCTCTGGCTGAAATATGCAGAAATGGAAATGAAGAATCGCCAGGCCAACCATGCCCGAAATGTGTGGGACCGTGCCATAACAGCACTGCCACGAGTCAGCCAGTTCTGGTACAAGTACACATACATGGAAGAGCTGTTGGGGAACATGGCCGGTGCCCGGCAGGTGTTTGAGCGCTGGATGGAATGGCAGCCCGAGGAGCAAGCCTGGCACTCCTACATTAACTTTGAGCTGAGATACAAAGAGGTGGAGCGGGCTCGGACCATTTACGAACGCTTTGTTCTTGTGCACCCGCGGGTGAAGAACTGGATCAAATATGCCCACTCTGAAGAAAAACATGCTTATTTTGCCCACGCACGGAAAGTGTATGAGAGAGCTGTTGAGTTCTTCGGAGAGGAGCATATGGATGAACACCTCTATGTTGCCTTTGCCAAATTTGAGGAAAACCAGAAAGAATTTGAGAGGGCCCAGGTCATCTACAAGTATGCCTTGGACAGAATCCCAACACATGAGGCTCAAGAGCTCGTCAAAAACTATACCATCTTTGAGAAGAAGTTTGGTGACAGACGGGGTATTGAGGCTATCATTGTGAGCAAACGCAGATTCCAGTATGAAGAGGAAGTGAGGGCCAGTCCCCACAATTATGATGCGTGGTTTGATTACTTGCGCTTACTGGAAAGCACTGCAGAAGCTGACACAGTGCGAGAGGTTTATGAGAGAGCCATTGCCAACATTCCACCCATTCAGGAGAAGAGACACTGGAAGCGTTACATCTACCTCTGGATCAACTATGCACTCTATGAAGAATTGCAGGCAAAGGATCCTGAGAGGACAAGGCAGGTGTATCAAGCCTCTTTGGAATTAATTCCTCATCAAGAGTTCACATTTGCCAAAATGTGGCTCTATTATGCACAATTTGAAATAAGACAGAGAAATTTATCATCTGCCAGAAGAGCTTTGGGGACTTCCATAGGCAAGTGTCCAAAGAGCAAGTTATTTAAAGGCTACATAGAACTGGAAGTGAAGCTTCGAGAATTTGACAGATGCCGGAAGCTTTATGCAAAGCTGTTGGAATTTGCACCTGAAAATTGTACCTCCTGGATTAAGTTTGCAGAATTAGAGACAATCCTTGGTGATGTGGAGAGAGCCAGGGCAATCTATGAGTTAGCCATCAGCCAGCCTCGCTTAGACATGCCAGAGGTGCTTTGGAAATCCTACATCGACTTTGAGATGGAACAGGGAGAAATTGAGAGAACACGAAATCTTTACCAACAGTTGCTCCAACGGACACAGCATGTCAAGGTATGGATCAGTTTGGCTCACTTTGAGTTGTCTGCAGGAGAAGACAGAAGTGTGTCTAAATGCAGACAGATTTATGAAGAGGCTAACAAAACCATGCAGAACTGTGAAGAAAAGGAAGCGAGGCTTATGCTGCTGCAATCGTGGAGACGCTTTGAGGATGAATTTGGAACAGTATCAGATAAGGAGAGAGTAGACAGACTCATGCCAGAGAAAGTGAAGAAGAGAAGAAAGGTTCAGACTGATGACGGGTCTGATGCAGGCTGGGAAGAATACTGTGACTACATCTTTCCAGAAGATGAAGCTGCCAGCCAACCTAACCTCAAACTTCTGACTATGGCTAAACTTTGGAAGAAACAACAGCATCTTGACTCAGGATGCTTTCTCTAAATGTTGCCACATTTTGGTGTTTTATATTTTTATTTGTAATGTTGTAAAATTTTGTAATATTGTAAATTTTGTAAAATTTTTCCTTGTTGGAAGGAATAAAATAAAATAAACTCTTATCTATCTGAAGCATGTTGTGGTCTCCATTTATTGAAACTTACATTAGAGAACCCAACAACCTGGCCCAGAGGTTCAGCTTCTCTAAACTTCCTGAGGATACTTTGAAAAGGAGGTCAGGAGACTAGCGATTATCAACCTTCCCACAGAAGAGGAGGACAACATTGAGCTATATATGTATAAATGGTAGTTCTTTGTTTTCATATGGAAGATATTGAAGTACAGGTGTTTATTTGATAGTATTACTTAGTACATGTATAGTTTTTACCAATTCACTGGGGATGGACATTTGGCTCAGACACTTGAAGCTGTTAGGAACACCCACATTGCAGACTTGGGATGGACATCCACTTTTAGTATACTTGTTTTGATTCCAAGAAAGAGATTGCCAAGTCTTATGGTAGGTATGTATTTATTTAGAAGCTACTATAAAAATGTCACAGTGCAGATCAGAAGGAACAATTCTGCCCAACTAGAGGTAAGGTATGTGAAGTACTGTGGGCAATGTTGACCATGTTAATTCCATCACAGGTCTTCATTGTAAGCACCTCTCAGGCTTGTTTCTTGAAATGTCACATCTGACCTTTCCCTGTGCCTGGTTGACTGGATTAAGGAGGTCTGACCAACAAGGCTTCTGCTCACCACTGGCAAGCCATGTGGACGTCCAGACCTAGTAACCCTTCAGCCCTGCAGGCACCTGACTTCCACCCCACTGCAGATCCTAAGGGATATCAGTCAACTCATGGAAACTGGAGGAAGATGATTTTTGGTTTAAGCACTGATGGTGTTTGCTTGTAATCCCAACACTTGTGAGACTGAGGTAAGAGGATTGGGAGTTTGAAGCATCCTGGCCCACATGGTTAGACCATGTCTAAAAGAATATATTTTTGGTTATTGTTGTCGAAAAATTATGGATATTGGATAGACAACAGGAACAAAGGTTATCACCCCAAAGTAGGATGTCACCATAAAACCAAGTAAGCTGTCAAGTCATTTCCTGTTGATTTGGTGAGGTGTGTTAATTTCTGAATGGATGGTAGGGGAAGGCAGAAGAAAGGATTTAAAACTTTTTGCTATTATCTGTGTCAGTATTATTTTCTTTTTAGCTTGTGACATATTGTAAATTGCATCTTCTCTGCCTGCAAATCCACTGTCCATACCGTTGGATTGATTGAAGAGCCGTCGGTCATACTGAACTTCATTTGAGGTGCAAGGATTGGGGACACCCCAATGACTTCAGTGATTTCAGTGATTATCTGCTGTTCCTTTTTCTGCAGTTCCGATCCCTTCCCAGCAGCTGCCCAGGAAAGATAATGGTCATGCCATCTCTCTTTTTGCCTCTCCTGCTGGATCTCATCCCTCCTACATGCGTGCCTCCCTATCATCTGTCCACATGGGTTTTGATCCCAGCTCTCCTGTCGCTGGCTTTTGGGCCATCACTCTAAGTTTACCTTTCATTCTGAATCCTTTTTCTCTCCACTTGGGCCCATCTTTCCACAGTGTCCAGAGCCTTCCAGTCAGCAATATAGAGAACTTCAGCCAGTTTGGCAAAGTTCTCATTGATGTGTACCATCCGAAGTCCTCTTCCACTAGCGGCCAGTTGCTTGTCTAATGGAATTGTATAACCCTTTGCATTTTTCCAGTTGGAAATTCAAGGAGGAATCTTCCACTCTTGTTGCTTCTTGGCAGTCATTTTTTGACTTGGAGAGTGCATGACAGGTGCAGGAGGAGTAGGTGGTCCCTGGGGAATCTTCTTGTTGATCTTGAACCTCAGAGGTTCCATTGGATCTTTCTGCATTACTACCATCTGAATTAGCCTCTGTGAAGCTCCAGAGTTAAATGCCACTCCTTGCTGAGATGGTGTGTATCTCATATACTGAGTGCGAGCCAGTTTATCAGCTGCTCCAACTGGCATGGCTGTGGCAACCTTTTGCTAGACATACGTGTCTAAGGCTACCCATGTCTTTGCTATGAGCTCTTGAGAACTTCTTCGCCATTTCTCTGTGGGTCTGGAACATTGGTATTCATACCCTCCTTTGGCTCCAGGTCAGTATATTTGCTGTAAATGACCTTATCTTTTGAATGTCTTCGTTGAGCAATTGCATCGTACTCAATTCTTCCTTCAGTATCGACCTGAATGGCCAGTGCATTTGACCTGTTTTTTTTTTGTCATCTCTATCCAGTGGATACTGGGCCACATGGATCTCTGGAAAAGCATCATCAAAGTCCTCTAACAAGCAAGATATACAGCCTTTTTGGTATCTGTATGAGGGAAGTTTCTCTGCGGGAAGAGGCCAGGGAAATCTGCCATGGACTGTGTGATTCTGCCTTCTCTTCTGCTTCAAGTTGGTCCTGAGATAGCTGAGTAGGTACAGGTAAAAAGCTGGCGAGTGCCATCTTCTTCAGCAAGAGTTGATTTAGTCAAGAGCAGGAGCAAACGGATGTCCTGCCTGAGTTGGATGCATGCACAGTGAGAGCATAGGGCAGGAGAGAGGAATTATATAGGAAGGGCAAGGAGGAGGTGTGTCCACAGCGGATGTGGAAATGACGTCAGAGCTGATGGATCTTCTCACTGGCAGGAAGAGGCCTGACTGGGGCAGATAAGCACAAGACCTCAGAGGATGAGGAAGTGACCTCAGAGCCTGGGGCCCTTGCAGCCTCAATCAGGGGATTGACACTTCGATGTGATTGATTACTTGTTTCCCACAGGTGATTTCTGGAATGGCTACTGAGCTTTCCTTTCTAGTAGAGAAGAGGAGGAGAGTGGGCCAATGTCATGGGCATACCTAACATTCTAGCCTTTTGACAATTGAGAAGAGCCACTGATTCTCTCTGGCTATTTCCTGCTGACAGAGGGGGGGGGCGGGGGGCGGTCATTTTTAGGGATAGAGGCTGAGATGACATCCCGACTGGTATAAAGCAGCAGTAACAGTTCCTTGGTTGTGAATGTATATATTTGTCTATGGAAAGAAGTCTTAAGAGGCAGGGGCTGAATAAGAAGTTGAAAGTATAGCATAGAATGAAAAGTTCTGTTCCACTTTAAAATGGGTGACTTGATGCCCTTAGTGGTTCCCATGGTACCAACAGGGGTTTGACTGAAGATTTGTTCTGGGGAGGGTTATGGGGGAGGGGTGAGGACCTGACTGGACCACTTTTCACCTCTAGGTCTGAGGAGCTAAAGACCAGTCATTTCCACATGGAAGTGAGAGGGGCAAAGGTGGTCCAGTGATGTAACAGGATAAGGGACAGAGGACAGTAGCACTAACTCCTGGTGGCCCACCTGTAGGTCAAAAGTGAGAGAGGATTCAGGTGGACCTGTTGCAACAATGAGAAGTACAAATTGTCATGTCAAAAACGAGCTTTACAATGTCAGTGGGGGGGAGGGGGGAGGCCAGGAAGGGAGGGGAAGGGTAAACAAAGGAGGAGGCTGCAATGCTTGATAAAAAATGTATGCATTATCCTGCCTATGTAATTGTAACCCCTCTGTACAGCATGTTCACAAATAAAATAAAAAAAAGTGAGAGAGCCTGGGAGCTGATCCCAGTGACAACTCCTGAGCATAGTCAGGTGTGACAGACCAAGTAAGGGAAGGTATGGCCATGAACACACAAGCACATAAGTGCATACACATGCCTATGTGTAGGTATGAAGGTTGACTAGATAAGCCAGGTTTTACAGGTTTAAGGAGACAGATGGTGTCCAGTTCATGTAGAGAATGAGAGGGTGGGTTAATCAAGGCCAGAGAACATGCTTTCAGAGCAGATGAAATGTTTCACCCCTGGCCCTATTAGAAACAGGCTGCATGTTGTTTAAAAGAAAGGAGTTTAATAGCCTACAGCCCTTCAGAAGGCTTCAAAGCTAGAGAACAAAGCTCACTCAGAAAAGTCAAGTTTGGGCTGGGAAGGTGGCTCAGTGGTAGAGTGCTTGCCTTGCATGCTTGAGGCCCAGGTTCGATTCCTCAGCTCCCTCTGCCTATACAAAATTGCAGCTACAGAAGACCACAGACAGCCTCTACATCAAGAAGAGAGCAGCATTCTTCCTGGTATAGCTCTGAACCAGCAAAGCTGCAATCACAAAGATGGGAGCCATTTGTTTGGTGGGTTCTCTGGTGTTGCCATGGGAGATGCCATGTTCATTGTCCTCCTGCAGTGTCTGAGCTTGAACAGCCTGGTAGAGGGAAATGCAATTGCCTGATATGAATGCTCAGGACACAGGCTTCACCCAGGGACAGTACCACAGTCTCCCACAGCAGAATGTCCCTTGGTGCCATGATGGAGGCTTTGGAAGCCTTTCCAGGGTTCTACAAGGCCAGCTGCTTCTGGGATGCTCTGATTGCCAGAAGGTTCCATGGGCACCAGCCTGTGGATTCACCAATGCAAAGAAGGCATTTTGTCCATCACAAGCAGAACTGATGTGGAATCAGTGACACCAAGTATTACATTGAAAGTCCTGAGTGTTATAAAAAATGACTGTGTCTGTCAGACAAAGAAGGGTAAAAATCCAAGCAAGAATCTTATAAGGCAAGTGGCTCCATCCTATCACAGCAGTCGAATGCCAGCAATTGGCCTTTGGCTGGCTGGCTGCCTCCCAGGTTCAAGAAGTTTATCGGGGTCACTGTTGCAGCAGTATCAGTTCAGCCTTTTAAAGACATTGAAGTCATGGGTCCTACCTTAGATCCATTCAAGTCATGGATCCCACCTATGGATCCTTGCCTCCAGAGCACTTCATCTGTGAGACCTTTCAGTCAGCAGTAGAGTAGATAGGGAAAGAGGCAGGTCCATCTGAGGGCAGCCATATTGTTCAACTACCTGAGTCTCTCATGGCCAGGACTTTGAGTATTCAAGGGTACTGTGTTTTCACTCCAAGTGCTTCACCAGTATATTCCCCAGCTCAGTCTCATCATAAATCATAGTGTTGCTACTTCTAATTCCATGACTTAGAATGACTTCATTTTAGACCATTTGTCCTAGTAGGCAAAGACAACCCAATGACAACCCAGAGTCCTGCCCTTTAGAAAGACACCTTCTTACTCTAGTCCTTCAAGGCTAGCTTGCATCAAAAATCTCAGAAGCTCCCAGGAGGATAAGAGATGTGATAAGTGTATTCCACCACCTCCACCAGTAAAGAAAACAAAGGACTCCAAGCCCTCTGGTCCTTGCCCAGAGCAACATTAACAGCAAATGCAAGTTATTAAGGCAGAGCAGAGGGTGCTGAAGTAGCTGGGGATCTGTGCATGTCAAGCACCCCAGACGATCATTGCTATGTATTTACAAGTCTTAAAATGTGAACGTGATCAAACCCTTATTCAGACTGCCTAGGTAGTCCCTGATGGAATTACATGAACGATAGTCTGTGACCAATGTTTTTGTTCACTCCCAACCAGAGACCGTATCGTGTGTGTGCATCTACCTGGCGACTAGGGTGCTCCAGATTTAACTGCCCACTCCTCCCCACTGGTTTCTTCTTTTTTTGGCACTACAGAATAGGAAATTCAAGAAATATGCATAGAGATGCTTTGGCTGTATACCAGGAAAAAGCCTAACTGAATTTCTAGAAAGGGAAGCAGAGAAAATTAGCCTTACAGGAAGCCAAGTTGAAAGCAAAGGGACTGAATCTGGATGGGACCCCAGCCCTGTCTACCTTGGGTGGCTTCTCCTGGGCCTTCAAGCTGTCATCACTTAGATAGAGAAGCAATAGCCAAAGAGAAGTCCCTGGCATCCCTCAGTGTGAAGATGATCAAAGAGGAACCTGAAAATGTCACTGTACATTGGGCCTCTGAGTCGGAATTTGCCAGTTCTTCCAACATATGGCTTCAATTGTCTGTTAATACCATGAGGGCCTCTGATGCTGAGCTGTGAACCTGAAAGGGTTCAAGAGCTTGGAATGCCAGCTCAAAGTGCCCTCGGAATGCTCAGAGCTGAGCCTGAATAAGGCCAAACAGTTGAGGCTGACAGAGGTAAAAGTTATTACCCCAAGTGAGTGGGGAGCTGCTTGAACACGATGAGTTTAAGGCCTTGGGGATAAGGTGGATGTCTGTTTTATGGAAGGAATGTTTTATTATTCCCTTTTGCTCCCTAATGATAAAGGAGTCAATTATTTCTATGTTTACAAATTATACCTCATTAATGGCTATAACCACAAGATAGATTGATACCCTCATGTGTGCACTGATCTGTAGTTGCCCCTCCCACTGAACTGAACTCAATAAAACTCTTCTTAGGGCACACTAGGACGTGGTAGCAGGAATCCCATCCGGTCACCTGGCTCCCCAAGACCTCAGTTCTGTGGCCTGTTTTCCCATTATTGTCTTGTCCCCAGTCACAGCAGTCAGCAACACTTTCTTATGTATCAAGGAAGACCCTTGTGTCCAAAATACCCCATCACACAATTTAGTTGGACTTGCTGTCAGTAGGGAAGGGTACAAACACCTAACCCAGGATGAAATTAGTCAGCAAGAACATGAAATCTTCTAGAATGAATAAACTCTGGAGCTTGAACTTAATAAAAGGAACCTGAAGACAGACAGCAGGCTTCCTAAAGCTCTTACCATGGTGTAAGAAAAGACAGCAAGAAAAGCAACAAGAGAAGCAGCAAGAGCAGAAGAGTGGATCAGTCGAGGTCATGAATGGGGTCACGGGTCTAGATCACACACTCCCAGAAGACATTGCAGCAACAGGCGGAGCTGGCCTGGGACATACTGCTTGAGGTCCCCCAGCAGGTCCCTCAGCCACAGGGAGGGCCATTGGGCCACCACAACCACGCCTCTCCTCACCTGGAGGCCAGTGCCCCAGAGACGACACTCAAACAGACTTGGCCATAGAGGAAAAAAGTCCTGTTCTTGATTTAGAGCAAGCCCCGCGATCATTCCCACGCTGCTAAGCAGCACAGACACGAGAGGGGCCAGCACAGGGACCTGGGCAACGGTCTGCTCCTTCGAGGGGTCCACAAGGGCAAGCACCACGGCAGCAGCCGCTTGGGCCACGGCAGACACCGACGCCGACCCCCGCGTCATCCTGAGGCCAGGAGTGTGCACTCAATCCCAAGTGGTTAGCATGTGGGTTCTTCAATCTAGGTGTCTAGAAACACAGAGGACATTTTCTTTCGAGAAGAGGTATGTGGAAATTCTTTCACACAGGAAAATGCCCTAGTAGTATCTCATAGCAAACCATGGTCAGGATCGACTGTACTTTATTATAGTTGTGTATTGTTTATTGCTATAAGAACTGCAGTGGGAATTCTGTAAAAATGTATCTTATTTTTATACAGATATAAGTGCAGACATTGTTCTGTTTAAGTGGTTTATTTCCTTAAATGATGGTGAATACTTTAACACTGCTTTGTCTGCACAAAGTATTTGTCTGTGTAAAGTTTTCGACAATAAAATACACATCTTGTTTTTCTAAAAAAGAAAAACACACACCCAGGTCGTGAGTGCAATAGCCTGGAAATAGGGAATATCAAAAAATTGCATGGGGTTGAGAGTGGAGGGTTCAGCTCTGTAATCCGGAGGATTGGGGGACGACAGCTTTTTGCCTGCAGTCTTCCTCAACCCGTGCCTTAGTTCTTGGCCCAGGCCTTGTTGGACATGTCTGCTGCTGGGGGAAATGGCCCCTGTCACCAAGCTGACCGTCAGGATGGATCAGTTGCCAGGGTTGAGCAGTGAGTGTGAGCAGACACTGGAGATGTAAAACAACAGCAGTCTTCAGGGAACGGGCTCTTCTAAATCCACTGATGCAGGTTTCTGTCTGGATTCTCCTGCACCCTTGCACAGAAAAGAACACCTTGAAAATCTCACCAAGAGGATAAATTATGAGGATAGATTCCTTGCCTTAGAAGATTTTGGGGTATAGCCCAGCCTGGAATAGGAGCCATTCCGATTCTCTGGAACATGATATCTTTCAGCTCATTGACCAGGATGAAAACAAGGAAAAAGAAGCATTTGAGTTTAAGAAGCTCATAACACCTGCATCTCATGGTTGCCTGTATGCCCATGGACTAGACGAGGGTAAAGATGACTTCTCACAGAGGCAGCACTCAGCCCCAGCTTGGATGCTTTCATCACATGAAAGAGATGTGAGCCAGGGAATTTTGTTCCTCTTTCCACACTCCAGTCACCTGTGTTAGTCAGTTTGTCTGATGAGGATGATGGCTTCATGGACCTTCTTGATGGAGAGAGTCTGAAGAACGATGTGGAGGCCCCATCGGGCATGGCAAGTCTCTGGACAGCACCCATGGTTATGAGAGGAGCTACAAATATTGGCAGTGGGTGGGGGATATTTGCCTCCGCTTCCCAGTGTGACTCCAGCATTTGGTCAGCAATGAAGGGACTAGAACAATCTCCAGTGGAATCTCCATAGGGAAGCACAAAGTGGCAGAAGAGCTTGGCTGGAATTAGTCCTGGAGGGTCACATAATCTACAGGGTCCCTGAGATTCTACACCAGTCTTTGTCTCTGACAAATTCCTCCAAAGGGACCATAGAGAAAAAATATCAATGCATAGTCAATAGTATTTTACTAAAAATACTCCTTTTGGGGAAAAAAGATTCATAGAAGCTTTTATGTGTTTCCTCTCAGACTTCAGAAATTGTAAATTTTCAGTGTGCTCAAGGCCGGAGGGTAAGGACACAGTTTATTATACAGCTCATACAGGTTGCTCTTGGGTGTGTGTGCTGTTATTGGCAAGTCAACATTTCTGATTTAAAAAGTTTTAAGTCTTGTGAAAAACATTTGTTTCACTGCAGAATTTTTTATAAAAATTTGGGACTGGGAAGGTGGCTCAGTGGTAGAGCACTTGCCTTGCATGCTCGAGGCCCTGGGTTCGATTCCTCAGCACCACATAAGAAAAAAGCCGGAAGTGGCGCTGTGGCTCAAGTGGTAGAGCGCTAGCCTTGAGCTGAAGAGCTGAGGGACAGTGCCCAGGCCCAGAGTTCAGGCCCCATGACCGGACCCCAAAAAAAAAACAAAAACAGAATTGTTTATAAAAATTCAATAAAGCCAGTCGAGGCTGGCTCACGCCTGTAATCCTAGCTACTCAGGAGGCTGAGATCTGAGGATCATGGTTCAAAGCCAGCCCGGGCAGGAAACTCTGAGATTCTTATCTCCAATAAACCACTAGAAAACTGGAAGTGGTGCTGTGCCTCAAGCGGTAGAGCTCTCGCCTTGAGCTGAAGATAGCACGGACAGCGCCCAAGCCCAGAGTTCAAGCCACACAACGGAAAAAAATTATTCACTGAAAATTGTGGATCTGTTTCCTACTAGTCACAGCATTTGTACAATGTTGCTTTTTAATATATTAAAAACAGGAAAAACAATGCTCAGGAGGAGGAATAGAAAGAGTATCTGAGTAGCCAAGAAGATGATGGCAATGATGGTAGTGATCCAAGCTCTCCCTGAAAACATCACTAGACAACACACCGAATTGTGGCTGGATAAGAAGTGGTCCCAGTATCTCAGTAGTCCCAGGCCATTTCTGTCCTAAGATGGCTAAAGCTACTTCAGCCAGTTCAGTGAATTGGATAATGACGTATCCTGAAACAGAAGATCACATCAGATGTAGGGAAAGAAATTACAGAAAGACAGCCTATAAACACACATTAAAAACTCAGGTGAATGAGTACAATAGCCAGGAAATTTGGGACTATCAAAAAATTCCATGGAATAAAAGCCCAAAGCAGATCAGGGGACCAAGATTAAGTCCCCATATACAGATACACAGCATGGCAGGGCACCTAGGTAAAAGGAAGACTAGACACTGCATGCTGCCTCCTGTTTTTGTCTCCACTTGAGCTATAAGACAGATTGTAAGGAAGTGTTCTGGCAGACCATGGGCACACACTGCTGGAGCTGGACTTGGGTTCTCGCCTCATTCCTGACACTGTCCAAACACTGGCATCCTAATCTCAAAGCTGCCTTTGTCCAGGATCAACCAGGCCCTTTAGTGATGCTGACACATGCACCCCATCTTCCTGCTCTCCTGGAAGCTGCTGTCCCTTGGGCCACATGACAAACAGCAACCACGATTTTTGTACCCCTGCATCTAGCCTCACTCTCCAACAATAGAATCCCAGATATTGTCCATGGAGCAGGTAGGATCCTGAGCCACCTATTTAGGCCAAGCAGGAGTCTAATGACAAGTCAGGAGAGTGATCAAAACCTTTGTCTCTGATAAGGCCAACACAGACACTAATTCAAGAGGGCATCAACTCTGGTTGACTTTTCTCATCTTCTAGACAGTTCTTGAATAAATATAAAAGCCTATCTGGCTAAACCAAGGCTAGAAGCAGCTCTACCAGATCACTGATTCTTAATGATGCATGCTTTCTAATGAAGACAATTCTCAATAGCAGAGTAGCCAAGGGTTTCCTTTTAGAATTCTAGACCAAAGAGAGAAGGCACAGACAGTGTCACTGAGTGGTAGGACTCCTGTTCACAATCACTGCATGTTACCCATGAAAAGCATTTGGCCAGGCCCCTTGGGGAACAGCCCCCATGGGCCATGACAAACTGCTAAAGGTAATCTATCCTGGTGGTTGCTTTTCCTTTCACCTCAAATGCTACCTTTGGGGCCAGCAATGTTGTATATTGATCAGAGGCAAGTTCTTCCTTAGGACACAGGTAAGTCAATAATGTCAGGGTTAGTTAAGTTAATTCCTAGGTATTTTATTTTTTGTGAGGCTATTACAAATGGAGTTGCTTTCCTAATTTCAGCCACACTTTTCTCATTGTTGGCATACAGAAAAGCCATTGATTTTTGGGGGTTAATTTTATAACCTGCTACTTTGCCAAAGTTTTGAATCAGCTTGAGTAATTTGGGAGTGGAGTCTATGGGATTCTTTAAATACAAGATCATGTCATCTGCAAAGAGGGAGAGTTTTATTTCTTCTTTCCCTATTTGGATCCCCTTTATGTCTGCATCTTGTCTTATTGCTGTAGCTAGGCATTCTAATACTAGATTGAAGAGAAGTGGAGAGAGTGGGCATCCTTGTCTTGATCCTGAGTTAAGAGGAAATGGCTTTAGTTTTTCACCATTAAGTATAATGCTGGCTGTAGGTTTGTCATATACAGCCTTTATTGTATTGAGGAATGTTCCATGGATTCCTAATTTTTCCAAAACCTTCATCATAAAGGGGTGTTGGATCTTGTCAAATGCTTTTTCTGCGTCTATTGAGATAACCATGTGGTTCTTATTCTTGCTCCTGTTGATGTGATGAATAATGTTAATTGATTTGCGTATATTGAACCAGCTTTGCATCCCTGAAATGAATCCTGTTTGATCGTGGTGTATGATTTTTTGGATGAATTGTTGAAGTCGGTTGGCCAAAATTTTGTTGAGAAGTTTCGCATCAATGTTCATCAAAGAAATGGGTCTATAGTTCTCTTTCTTTGATGAGTCCCTACCTGGTTTTGGGATGAGGGTTATGATGGCTTCATAGAATGTGTTCGGTAGTGAGCTTTCTCTTTCAATTTCATTGAAGAGTTGGAGGAGAATTGGTGTGAGCTCTGCTTTGAAGGCCTTGTAAAATTCCGCTGTAAAACCATCTGGTCCTGGACTTTTCTTAGCTGGGAGGTCTCTTATTGCTGTTTCTATTTCAATGCTTGATATGGGCCTGTTAAGATAGTTTAACTCATCTTGGTTTAGTTTTGGCATGTCAATATTTGCTAGGAAGAGGTCCATTTCTGTCAAGTTCTCAAACTTATTAGCATAAAGTTTTGAGAAGTATTCCCTTATATTGTTCTGAATCTTGGTTGTTTCCGTGGTGATGTTTCCATTCTCATCTCTGAGTTTATTAATTTGGGTGTGTTCTCTTCTTTTTCTGATAAGATTTGCTAAGGGTCTGTCAATTTTGTTAAGTTTTTCGAAGAACCAACTCTTTGTTTTGTTGATTCTTTCTATAGTTTTTTTGGATTCTAATTCATTTAATTCTGATTTAATTTTGATTATTTCTTTCCGTCTACTGGATTGGGGTTTATCTTGCTGCTCTTTTTCAAGGAGGTTTAGATGCGTCATTAAATTGCTAGTTCAGATCTCTCCAATTTGTTGATGTAGGAGCTCAGAGCTATAACATGTCAGTATAACATGTGGAGGAGACGGGGACAAACAAGTCGTTTAAGGATTCAGGTGGACCTGTTGCAACAATGAGAAGTACAAAATGTCATGTCAAAACTAGCTTTACAATGTCGGTGGGGGGGGGGGAGGGGGGGTATGATTGGGTGGGAGGGAGGGGGGAGTCTGGGAAGGGAGGTGAAGGGTAAACAAAGGAGGAGGATGCAATGCTTGGTAAGAAATGTATGCATTATCCTGCCCATGTAATTGTAACCCCTCTGTACAGTATGTTCTCAAATAAAATAAAATAAAATTAAAAAAAAAAAAAAAAAAAAAATAATGTCAGGGTTAAGGATTTCAGGGTGCTGAGCCTGCCTCATCCAGCAGGAAGTTCTGTTTCTTTACACCTCCAAGGTATAGGTTCTCTCCCCCACCTCAGAGCTTAAAGCTAGTGTCAGAATAGTCTGAGAGATTCTCCAGGCTGATGTTGTATAGGTTTGCGAAGCTACAAGAAGATCCTGAGACATTATCTCCCAAGAACTAGGCCTCTAAGTCCCATCTGACCATTAAGTTTGCTATATTCTGAACCTCATCATGTAAGAAGGCCTACCTCTCCATCCCTGCCATGTCCATTGCTGAAGCCCTGTCAGTGCAGACCTGCTACATAGCAGTCAGATGTGAGCTCCATCTAGTCTAAGTAGCCCTCTCCCCCAGAAGACTGTGCTTCAGACTACAATAGAAATATAAGTAGATAGAAGAACTCTTTAATGAAGGGGAGCTACTGGGCATCAATCAGGGCCCCATGAGCAGGCCTCTGAGAGCAAACATACAATATGATCAAAGTCACCCACAGTACTTGGGTATCACCAAGTGAAGTGGCTTCTGCTCACTCAGGAGGTGTTGAAGACAAAAAGAAGAGTCACAACTAGGAGCTAGCTCTTCCTTCTTCCCCTCTAAGAGACTCTGCATCCAAATGTAGACAGCAAGCACTGTCGATCTCCAGAGATAGTCTTAAACTACCATTTACTAGCTAATGCCCACATAGAACGTTGGCTTTCTAACCTCCCCCCTCCCAATTTTTGATAATGGAAACAGAAAACGTCTAAAACTGAAGCTTCTGGAAAAACACTTGTTCTTGCTGGTATCCTATCTTTCCTAAAACTTGGCCTTGGCCTCCCATTTGGAACTTTGAATTTCTTGCCTAATCAGGAGAAAAGGAAACAGACTTTTGCCAGTCAAATATTGTGGAAATAGCAGCACTAATGGTATCATCTATTATTTCACATGGAACATTATGAACATGATAGATTCTTATGGCTAGAATAGGTCTATCATTTAGATGCTTCTAGATATTAAGAATAAAGGCTTATTAAGAAGTGGAAGCCAAACTATCCTAGAAAACAAGGCATCTCTAAAAGATGAAATAAGACTCTCCATCTACTCTAAGACTAGATCTAACCAGATACAAGACATGCCACTAAGTTGTGAATTTTTCAACCAGAAAAATACTTGGGGTCAATAGGGCAAAAGCTAAAGTACCAACACTCACCAATGTGAGCAGACAGAGCGAAGGAAAGAGGTTAGAAGACAGCATATGCAATCTGAGCTCATTTCCCACATAGAGGGAACTAGAACAAGTACCAAATTGTCTCTGTAGCCATCTCCAGAGATGAAATCATGAAGTCATTGATGAATGACTTTGCTTTCTTTAATGGCAGTATACTGCTCTGATCAAAGAGAAAAGCTAAAAGCAAAGAAGACTCTAGAGAAGTGCACTATGTGTTATTTCACTAAAGCCAAAGGCTTGATAGACATGGAACTCTTAGAAATGGTCCCTGTATAGCCTCCTCTGTTACTTTTAATGTGGTCAGTCATGGGGCTTGAACTCTGGGCCTGGGTGCTGTCCCTCAGCTCTTCAGCTCAAGGCTAATGCTTTACCACTTGAGCCACAGTGCCACAGACTCTGCTGTTCTATAGGAAAAGTGTGCTTGTCTCCCACACCAGAGATGCTTGAAAAGACATGTATTGTCAGGACAGTCTCCAAAGGGATAGGAGTGGTGGATGAGGTGCTCCATGGCCAGATTTGGTTACACCACCTCTCTGACAGGAAGCCCACCATGACTGGTAATAATTTGCACAGGGTCTGCATGAGGGATAAGAAAACAAACCCTTTTTTCCAAGCTTGGTTGTTTCCACACATTGCAGAAAATGTAACCTTAACTGTACTTTGCCACTTTGAGACAAAATGATTCAATGTAATGGAAAGTTCTGGATAGGCAAGTCACAGGCCAATTCCAATTATGAAAATGTAAACAAAGCATTAAAAAGTTAAGCTAATTATGACCACATCTTGATTTTATAAATGAAGTAATCCAGACCCAAAGAATCACAGGTACATAGTTTCCCTTATTGGCAATAATTAGTATATGTCTAGGGTAATCTTATCAGATGAGCAGAATAGCTCAAAAGCTATGCACATACCACCATATAAGATGATGCTAAGGGAAATGAACTCCAAGATATGGACACACGAGGTTTTTCTTTGTTGTTTTTAATGTACTATGTGATTTCTTGTTTCTCTTGTCTGTTCTTCCCCCTATGGTATATCCATCCCCTGTTGTCACTGTATTTGATTCTGGTACCCTGGATTGTGTATATGTTTATTTGAATTGGAAAGAGAAGTGAACAACAGAGTCATGAGACAAAGGACAAGGGGGGAACCAATGCAACAGTGACATACACAAGACAAGATGCAACTTGAGGGGGATTGGGGAGATAGGGAGAGTAGGAGAAAAGCGACGGAAGGGGTAAGAAGTTCAACAAGTAATGTACTTATTGCCTTACTTATGTAACTGTAACCCTTCTATACATCACCTTGACAATATTTTTAAAAAGCAGTGGTGCTGGGAAAGCTGGATAGCAACATGTAGAAGACTGAAGGTAGAGCCCTCTCTTCTCACCCTGACAAGCTATTCAAAATAGATCACAGATCTTATGGTGAAGACCTGAAACTGCTAGGGGAAATCTGACACACACAGAGAGACAATTGTCACACTCAAGAGGCAACACACAGAATGGGAGGAAAATCTTTGGCTATCAATCTTTTAGCTGATGAATAGCTGGCAGATTAAATAGTCCCTAAAACTTACAAACACCCATAATGCCCTAATAGTCATCTAGTCCAAAGATTGTGGATATCACCAGAAGATTCTGGGACATGATTGTCCTGAGCAATCACAGGAAGAAAGCCCACTTGCCTGTAAAAGAGAAAGCATGAAAATTTCCTGCCACATATCCAAACTACACTCAAGAGCAGTTCACTGACCTTTAGTGTGGGTATTTGCTAGAATGGAAGAAACTCAATAATCTTGAGATACTTGTGAATGCATGTCTGAGTTACTTATGTTAAGCTCACAGTGAGCTTAAGATGAAGAATATTGTCATTTCAAGGGTGGAAATCTCCCTCAAAAACCTTTTGAATCCTAACCAACTGTACCCAAGGTGATGTCTTTAAAGGCTGTGTATTTACAGAAGTAATTCAAGTTAAATTGAGGTCATTTTGATCACGTATAATCTAATAGAACCAGAGAGGGCCTCACCATGACCAGAGCAATCTTGAGGAAAAAGTATAAAGCTAGAGCTATGTTTGACCTCAGAATATACTACCAAGCTATTGGAACCCAAACAGCATGGTGCTGGGATAAGAACAGCAGAACAGGACAGAGACCAGAAACAAACCGGTATTTTTAGGCAACTGATTTTCAGAAGCCCAAACAACACAACAGAGAGAAGGTCCTCATCAATAAATCAGGCTGGGAAAACTCGATAGTCATTCTTGGAAGGTAGACCTCTAACTCATACACGAAATCAACTCAAAATATAAGACTTCAAAGCAAAATCCAAACATTGGACTCAAAACAATGAGACTCCTTCTCCAAATGCCTTGGTCAGAAATGTTTTGGATGACAGATCATGGGGATGTATTGGAAATGACCAAATTTAAAGAGGTAAACATGAAATTGCTATATTTTGTGTATGTGTAACTTACACACACCTGAACTCATTTGTACAGTTGGTATGCCTTGGTTTTGACTACAACCTGTCACCTATGGTCAAGTAGAATTTTCCATTTCTGGCATTGTGTGAACATTTAGGAGCATTTTGAATTTTCTGAATTAGACCTCAGGGAATATTGTATATCATAGGTCTGAGCAAGGATTTTGAAAAGTAAGATATCCAAAGCAAAACAAATGAATGGGGCTACCTCAAATTAAAACTTTTATGCATGGCAAAAGAAACAGCATAAGAAACCTAGAGAGTGGAAGAAGACATGTGTAAACAAGCTGATGAGGGCATAATATGCAGAAATTATAAATTCAGTATCAAGAGAATATACAATTGCAATTGAAAAAAGACCTGAATAGATAGTGCAAGAAATCTGCAAAATACCTACCAGGCCTATGAAAAATATTGCTAATTAGGATTATATAACTCACAAAGCCTCAATAGATATCACCCCTCTC